AGGTCATTCCATTATTATAAGTGATCAATTCATCAAACCCTAAACATTTACACTCCTAATAACAGAGTTAGGTGACTAGCAAGGAAACCAAGGTCCAGAAAGTTTGAATCACTTGTGAAGGTCACTCAGGCAGCGAGTGGAAGAGGCAAGGTGGGAACCAAGGGTGGCTCTAGAGTCCGATGTCCCCTCCGCTAAGCCACGTCTCAAGGAGCCACTGTGTCAGGGGCCTTCAGCTCGTCTCTGCTGATGGCATGTGGTCACCTCCTGGGAAGGTCAGAACTGGGAGCCCACCTTTCGGGGCCTCGCAGATGGTCCAGACCCAGTGACCAAAGTCCTTGTCTAACTGAAGAGGGGGTGGAAAGTGGGGAGAAACACAGGACTCGGGGAAGAGGCACACTTTTCAGAGTTGCCTGGATTTCCCCCGATTCCTCAATGGCTCCATTTATAAATGTCCACAGTGCCTCGGGCAGTGTGGGTATCAGGGCAGGAGGTTAAGGTTGGTGCTGGAGGTTGGGGGAGGGGGCTTCTGCCCAATTCTTTCTAAGCTTCTGACAGGACCCTTAAGCACCAAGACAAACTTCTCTTTCACAGTAAGTTTCTGAGGATTGGTGCCAGGAAGGGAGCCCCCAAGCGTGCCGAGAAGTCATCCCACTTCTTTATTCCACCAGACAAGGCCTACTTTGTCTCCCTCCTCCCACCCGATGAGCCCAGCCTCCTCCCACAGCCGTGTGCTGACGAAACGTGCCAAGCCCTGGAGCAGCAGGGTGCCCGGGTGCAGGGGTCACCCAATGGTGGGGGCAGAAGGAGGCCTGGAGTCTTTGCCCCCTCCCCGTGGTGGGAGGAGGAAGCTTTCTTCTCTCCCTCCGTCCCTCTCCCCACAGCTGGATGGATCTGTCTGCTTGTGGGGAGAGGGAGAGGCCACCAGGAACCAGAGTGGAGAAGTCAGGAGAAGGAGAGACTCGGATCCGCGGCGCTGGGCCTGGGAGACTACGTGACCGAGGGAGAAGGCAGATAAGCTGGCCCCAGAGATATATGATCTCTGGGACATAGAAGGTACCACACAGCTAAGAGATGGAGTTCCCAGGGTGACGAAGATGAAGGGAGATCCCAGGTGTGGAGAGCAACCTGTCTAAACCCAAGATTCCTGAATGTCTTATGATGAGATTCATATGACTGGTGAGGCAGTTGAATAAGAAAAGTAATAAACAAAAAGAACATAGAAAAGTAATAACCATCAGCTCCATTAAAAACAAAAAGTTGTGTGAGAAAGTAAAATGATTATAGCTCACTATGCAGCAGAGCTGTGAAAGTATTAAAGTCATAATAATGAAAATAATGAAGATCTAACCTAAATTCTCAAATAAGGTATTTATATTGGGAGGACGGATGATGGGAAATGGATGTGTGTGGTAAAGGCTAAGAAAGGATGAAGGAAGATCATCATTTTCCAGGATGTTGACTTGATAATGAAACATCAAGAAAGCACTGAGAGACAAGGAGGTAAATGTCTTCAAAATAACCAGCTAGAAGATATAAAAAACCACTGCGTGAAAAATAAGGGAAAAATATTTTTTACAACCATGTGACTTTGCATAAATCAAACATTGAAAAAAAAAATCCTTGTGGTCTTAAGCAAAGAATTGTGACTGAAAAATAATTAACAGAGAAAGGGAAGAATTGCAAAAAGATCATGTAATTGGAAGTAACAGTGTGGAAGTTTATTTAAAACAAAAAATATGCAGGAGTTCCCCGCGGTCCAGTGGTTCGAACTCCGTGCTCTCACTGCCGTGGGCACAGGTTCAGTCCCTGGTCGGAGAACTAAGACCCCAGACGCCGAGGAGCAGCGAGGCCCACACACAGGTCCTGAGCCCTTGAGCCACGGCTGGAGCGTCCGTGCGCCACAACGAAAGATCTCGAGTGCCACGAATAAGACCCGACTCAGCCAAATAAATAAATATTTTTTAAACAGAAGAAGAAGAAAAAGGCCTACATCTGGATTCGGTCCTTGTCCTGAGTGCCCCAGGGAGACACTGGCCTGGATAAACGCCACGGTCCTACAGGTCTGTCTCATAGCGGTGTTTCTTCTCACCCCGTACTCGGTAGACAATACATGGAAATGCCATCCTTAATAATTAGTCATGGGGGTTCCCTGGTGGGCCAGGGGTAAGACTCTGTGCTCCCAACGCAGGGGGCCTGAGTTCAATCCCCAGTTAGGGATCTATATCCCTCATGCCGCAACTAAGAGTCTGCATACTGAGACTAGAGATCCCGCGCGCTGCACACAGACCCAATGCAGCCAAATAAATAAAGAAATGTTTAAGATAATAATAATTAGTCATGGAAGAGGAACCAAGTAACTCAGAAGGAAATAACACAGCAAGTGATATTTCAAAGCAACTTCTGACCTTTGAACAAACAAAAAATAACATGACAGGAGGAAATTTTTAGATCAGTGAGAAGATCCAGGGCCCCGGTGAACAGGCCAGGGCTGAGGCCAATTGGAATGTGAGACCCACGCCACCTATAGGACAGGCAACGCGGGCCGGGGTGGGCAAGGGGCGGAAACCTCAGAAGACCTGAGTCCTGGCCAGCGGCGGGGACAAGGAGAGGACACACAGCCACTCAGCCAGCCAGAGAAGCTTCCTGGAGGGGTTCGGATTTCAGGGGAAGCCCAAGACAGCTTGCCAAGATGAGGCAGAAGATTGTTCCTGACCAGTGAGACAGCCGAGATGTGAGGGCGGCAAGATCCTGACAAAGGGAAGCAACCCGAGGGCGGGGCAGGACCGTTGGCAGAGACTGGGCACTGCAGGGGGGAAGGAGGGGCCCGGAGAGCCAAGTGTGGTCCTGCCGCGGCCACCTCCTGCCCACCCAGCAAAGACCCACCGACGGATTCCCCAGCAGGTGGGACCGTCGTCAAGTGCAGCTGAGGATGTCCCACCCCAGGGGGGCTCGTTGCCACAAACTCTCTCCTTCTCAGCAGTTTCTCAGCCATTTTAGAAGAGCATGTTGCTCTGTATTTGAGGGACCCCGCTACAGACAGCCCATCAACCCCCAGGAGTGCATGGAAAAAACCTGCATTTGTGTGTGATGGGCTTTCTCTGTATCCTATGTTTTAGTTTATGCATTAAACATTCTCTTGGGAATTCTCTGGTGATTCAGTGGTTAGGGCTCTGCGCTCTCGCTGCTGAGAGCTTGGGTTCAATCCCTGGTTGAGGAATTAAGATCTGCATGGAGCAGCAAAAATAAAACAACTTACCTTGAAGGAAATTTTTTAATTTATTTTATCAGTCAGTAGAGCTGCTCAGTCATGTCCAACTCTTTGTGACCCCATGGACTGCAGCATGCTAAGCTTCCCTGTCCATCATCAACTCCCGGAGTTTGCTCAAACTCATGTCCCTCAAGTGGTGATACCATCCAACCATCTCATCCTCTGTCGTCCCCTTCTCCTCCTGCCTTCAATCTTTCCTAGCATCAGGGTCTTTTCGCATCAGGTGGCCAAAGTATTGGAGTTTCAGCTTTAGAATCATAAAATTTCTTTTATAAATACATAAAATCTCAACACTAAAAAATAATAATTATCTTGAGAATAACTAGCAAGGGAGTAGATGGCTGTGCTGTGCTGGCTTCGTCACTCAGTCATGTCCGACTCTTTGCGACCCCGAGAACTGTAGCCCACCAGGCCCCTCTGTCCATGGGGACAGGACAAGGCAACACTACTGGAGTGGGTTGCCATGCCCTCATCCAGGGAAATCTTCCCAACCCAGGGATCGAACCCAGGTCTCCTGCATTGTGTGTAGATTCTTTACCATCTGAGCCACAAGGGAACCCTGAGTAGATGGCATAAAAGGTTAAGAACTGCTGACCTAAAGGGACGGGTGTGCAGAGAACATAGGCTGGGACAGAAAAGACACGGTCAAGGAATGTGCCTCATTCCTTGGACACTGGGCACCCATTGGATTGTGGCCCCAAAACTCTGACTAGAGCCTTTACCATCCCACTGCCCAACCGCTCGATCCGTTTCCACCAAGTCGGCCTCAGTGCCCCTCAAGTTGGTCTGGTGCCATCTCTCTTTGTCTTTGCTCGCGTATCCATTGATCTGTTTTTATAAATGTTCATTGATTGTCTTCTTGCTGCCAGGCACTGCACTGTGCAACGGGTCCTGGGAACACGTGTGCTGGCACCAGACGCCACAGCGCGGCCCAGGGACATCACGCAGGGGAAGCTGGACGCCCCCGGGGCTACTGCTGCCCTGCTGCCCCCGGGAGCCACCAAGACCTCCAGGACAGGTCATCTGCTGGGGCTGCTTCTCTGCTTCACTGACCCGAGTCGTCGTCCGGGGAGTGAGCGGCTGCTCCCCTGAGCCCAGGCCGCGTGCACCTGTTCTGCTGTGGGGGCCGCTGCACAAGGGGCTTCTGGCTGTGCCCGCTTCCCTGATGGAAATGCTGGGGTTCCCTCAGGCATAGAAGGCTGGAAGCAGAGATCTGGCAGAGCAGCGGGGGTGGGGTGGGGTGGGGGCCGCACCCTGGCTGGGGTCTACCCAGGCTCAGGCTTTTCCAGCGGGGAGGGGTGAAGCATGGCTTGGCAATACCCAACTCCCCCACGAACCCCGGGGTGGGGATTCAGAAGAGGCTGGAAGGGTGACACGCCCCAGACATCTGCCACTCGCCACACGCACACCCAGCCCACTGGCATTCTCCCACACCGGGGTACCCAAGGCCCTGGTCCCCAGATCAGCTGTCTCAGCTCTCGCTGTTCAGATGGTCTGTAGACTCGCCGAGCACAGACCCACCCGCCTGGCCTGCGCACCCTCTTCTCTCTCTCTCAGCCCTTTCTGAGGCCTGTCCCTGGCCTGTGGATTCCTGCCCCTCCCCGGCCCCACCACGACCAGGCTTGGAGCCCAGCCATTCCCAGAACTACACCTGGCTGTATTCTCCATGTTGTCTGCAGCAAGCTCCCAAAACCGGGGAAGTCCAGGACCTTCCATCTGGACGGTCAGCACAATGGTACCTGTCCTGCTGTCCCTGCTGCTACTTCTGCGTCCTGCAGTCCCCAAGGAGACCCAGGCTGGTGAGTGGGGAAGCAAGGGGTAGGTCTGGAGAAGAATGGAGGGGAGGTAATGAGCTGGACAGATGGGTTCAAGAAGGGCCCCAAGGTGGCTGGGATTCTCAAGTGTACTATAGGAATGGGTGTCCCAGGCTGTTCAACTCACACACTTCCAGAAGCACTCAGGGAGCCTCTGGACTCAGGCAAAGTAAGACCTTAAAGAATCAGAATCTAAAACTCTTAAGTTACAGGATAAACAAAACTAAGACCTAGAGAGGTGAGTGACCTGCCCAGGGTCACACAGCCCGGACAGAGCAGGAGCCACACAAGCAGAACTTCTCATCTCTTCCCTCGCTCTGACCACTGGATGGATCTGAGACTCAGGGGGAGAGAGAGCGACCCCAAGGGGCAGACGTGAAGGCAGATTAACCGGAGAGATGGTTCCAGAAGAAAATTCATCCCTCACTCCACGGTTCAGATATTACTCCTCCGGGCCAGGCAGGCGGGTGACTAGGAAAGAAGCCGGCTGGAGCTTGGAAGGAATAGGGCCTATTCCAGGACAGGGAAATGAGTCTGGCTCTGGCATACAGGATTTCAGGATGAATAAATGTAAGATAAAACCGTGCAAATTTAAAATCCATTACATTGTATGAGCTATCAGAAATGTATTATGTTAACTTTATAGCAGTCAATCACATTTAGAATGTTAATCACCTTCTACATCAAACTCTGTATCAATCAGGGTTCTCCAGAGAAGCAGAACTAATAGGACTTTAGAGAAAAATATTTATTTTAAGGAATTGGCTCACACAAGTGTCGGGCTGGGCTGGCAAGTCAGAAACCTGCAGGACAGGTCAGCAGGCTGGAGACCCAGAGAAGAGCTGACGTTGCTGTCTTGAATCTGAAGGCAACCTGAGGCAGAATTTCTACTTCGCTCTTTCCCCTTGGGTCCTTCAACTGATTAGATAAGACCCACCCACATTATGGAGGGTAAAAGGGCTAATGAGCTAAATGGTCATCACATTTAGAAACTAATTAGCAAAGATAATAGTCGAACTAGGATTCTGCCGTATAACCTCCAACATGATTAACACCCGTGTGAGTTATAGGATGAATTAATTATGGAATCCATTGTGGGAATGCTCCCCCTTCTCCCAGTCTCCATCTCACACCAAAGGGCAAGTTACAGCCCTGGTAATTCTGAGATCCATCCTGGTCTTACCCTGTGCCAAGCTATTCTAGGTCATTTCCTGAGTTTTCTAGCAAATTCTCCTTCTAACACTTTCTAACTACATGTATTTGTCAGGGTAGACTAGGCTATGCTTCAGTAACAAAGTTCAGGGTGGCTTAATCCATCAAATATTTATTTCTTGCTCATGTGAAGTTGAATACAAATCAAGCAAGTCCTCATGTAAAACTGAAGACACATCAGGTAGTCTCCTCCATAGGATGACTCTGGGGTCCAGCCTGTTTACATCTTGGGATTCTTCTGTCTCATCCTGTGGCCTCCACAGCCATCGCCTAAAGGGGGAGAGACAGATGGAGCAAACCCGTTCATGAGGCCTTGGACCAAAAGACATCGCGCCCACTCACACTTCCTTTTGACAGAACTCAACCACATGATCCCAATACACCTACAAGGAGGCTGAGAGATAGTACCTGCTTGTTTGTCAAGAAGACAAGACGAAGTGAAGGCCCAGAGTGGGCTCTGAACTATCATCCCCAGGACAGAGGCTGCCCCTTCTCTCGACAGCAGGCGGATAGAACTGAGGAGGGGGAGGCCCAGGGCCCTCCCTGCCCGGCCCCCTGCTGCCCTGCATTGGGCTCGCCTGCAGGGACGACACTCCTCAAAGTCCTTCCCCCTTTCGCAGGGAATTACTCTCTGAGCTTCCTCTACACGGGGCTGTCCAAGCCCCGTCGGGGCTCCCCCCGCCCCGCTTCCAGGCCGTCGCCTACCTCAACGACCAGCCCTTCTTCCACTATGATAGCGAAGGCAGGAGGGCCGAGCCCCTGGCCCCGTGGAGCCAGGTGGAAGGCATGGAGGACTGGGAGAAGGAGAGTGCCCTTCAGAGGGCCAGGGAGGATATCTTCACGGAGACCCCGAGTGACATCATGGGCTACTGCAAGGACAGCGAAGGTGAGTGGACCACGGGCTGCGGGGGTGCACGGGCTCCGCCCGAGAGGCGGCCCCGCAACTGGGCGTGGGATGGAAGCAGGCCCTCCCAAAGGAGGATCGGGAAGCACGATCGGAAACACAGACGTTTCTGCGTGCCTCTCCCGCATCCCACACTCACCTGCCTGCCTGCTCTCCCCATCCTCGCTCCCAGGCCTCAGGTCACACTGAAGCGAAGGCCGAGTCAGGACGAATCCGGGCACCTCTGAGCTCTCCCCTCCACATCCCCGTCCATCGAAGGCGGGTCCCTCTTTCTGAGCCAGACTCGCCCCTGCCCAGGGATGTGGGGTGGAGAGTGAGGCAACCTGCAGCGTGTCCCGGGTTCCCGTGGTGGCTGCCCCAGTCACGAGCTACTCGACCGTGGACACACCGCTCGGTTGTCTGGTCTTATTGTTGTTGTTTAGCCTCTAAGTCCCGCCTGACTCTTTGCGACCCCGTGGACTGTAGCCCACCAGGTTCCTCTGTCCATGGGATTTCCCAGACAAGAATACTGGACTGGGTTGCCCTTTCCTTCTCCAGGGGATCTTCCCGACCCAGGGTTCGAACCTGGGTCTCCTGCGTTGGCAGACAGATTCTTTACTGCTGTGCTATCAGGGAAGCCCCCGCTATCTAGGCTATTGGTGGCAGAGTGTGCAAGAGGAAGAGCTCTTTAGGCATAACTGACGCCAGGCTGGCCGGCTGACTTTCAGGGGGCGGCGGCGGGGAGGGCGCAGGGTCTCACACCTTTCAGGGAGCATTCGGCTGTGAGATCCGGAATAACGAGATCAGTGGAGCGTTCTGGGTGTACGCTTATGACAGCCGGGACTTCATCAAGTTCGACAAAGAAATCCCAGCCTAGGTCCCTCTGGACCCAGCAGCTCAGAACACCAAGCGCAAGTGGGAGGCAGAGGCCGTCTACTTGCAGCGGGCCAAGGCCTACCTGGAGGAGGAGTGCCCGGGGATGCTGCAGAGATACCTGCCCCACAGCAGGACCCACCTGGACTGCCAAGGTGCCCGCTGCCGCCCGTGCCCTGCCCTCCCTCGCCCCGCCCTTCCCTTGCGCTGCTGGGAAAGACCAGGGCGACCACAGGTGGGCGCCCCGGGACCATCCCAGGCAGACCCCGCAGTCCCTTCTCCCGGTGACGCCACCGCCCAGCTTGGCCGTGGAGAGAAGGCTGCTGCTGCTGCTGCTAAGTCGCTCCAGTCGTGTCCGACTCTGCGCGACCCCATAGACGGCAGCCCACCAGGCTCCGCCGTCCCTGGGAATCTCCAGGCAAGAACATTGGAGTGGGTTGCCATTTCCTTCTCCAATGAAGGAAAGTGAAAAGTGAAAGTGAAGTTGCTCAGTCGTGTCTGACTCTTCACGACCCCATGGACTGCAGCCTACCAGGCTCCTCCGTCCATGGAATTTTCCAGACAAGAGTACTGTAGTGGGGTGCCATTGCCTTCTCCAGGAGAGAAGGCAAGTGTGTGCAATGCCTGCTTCACAAGGATGGAAACAGGGGTAGCAGGATCGGCTGGCATGAGCTGAGGCTGGAGAAGAAATTAGAAAGAGGGTCGCGGCCCTGAGCAGGGAAGGGTTGGCCAGATGATGAGGTGGATGGATGGAGCCCGAGGCAGAACTAAGAGACAGGGCTGAGACGGGGGGTGGGGGGCACAGAGCCTGTTTTGGATGTTTGGGGGGAGAGAACAGAAAAACATTTGGCCTGTTCACAACTTCTTGACCTTCAGAAGTCACACATGCTGGAAGCTGGGCGGGGAAGAGAGTGGCCGCAGAAGGCCCATGACGCAGTGGGGAAGGGTCTCGGGAAGGGTGGCGGGGGGCCCCAGCCTTCGAGGAGAAGCCCTGCTCACCCCTGACCCCGGGATGGGGAGCCGTGGGCAGGGAGATGCCAGGCCCTGGGCATTCACCCCCTGTCCCTCCACAGAGTCTCCCTCTGTGTCGGTCACCGGCCACGTGGCCCCAGGACACAAAAGGACACTCAAGTGCCTGGCCTACGACTTCTACCCGCGAAGCATCGGGCTGCACTGGACTCGGGCCGGCGACGCCCAGGAGGCTGTCAGGGGGCGATGTGCTCCCCAGCGGCAACGGCACTTACCAGTCCTGGGTGGTGGTGGGGGTCCCCTCTGAGGACCCAGCCCCCTACTCCTGCCACGTGGAGCACAGAAGCCTGGCCCAGCCCCTCACTGTCCCGTGGGACCCGCAGCAGCAAGCCCAGTAGTCACCCTTTCTGCGCAGTGAGAGAGGTGGGCGCTACGAGCCACTGTCAACATCGTGGGCCAGGCCGAGGGGACGGCGGTGGATTCCAGGTGGTGGATTCCAGAGGGAAGACTTGAATGCCGAGCTCTGAGCTGACTCACGGCCAACCAGTCTTGCAAAAAAACCCATTATGTAATCTGCAAAATCAAATCAGCATCATCGCCTTATAGAATGATTATTTTTAAACTGCAAAGTGCTGTAGAAATGTGAGAGTTTGTCATTAGTCCTGCCCCTCCGAGCACTGGACTCATCTGAAATTCTTAGTGTTTACTGGGCGTCTCACCACCATAGCATGGCCTGGACCACCGGTCCCAGGGGCATTGTTTACGCGTGCCCACTGCTGATGTCCCCGGTGGTCATGAGGCCGTGGAACTCTGCAGTCTCTTTAATACAAATCGAAGCCTCTTCTGTACCTGTTTTCCCAGCAGCCCAGCTCCCCGTAGGCACCACCCTTCACTCCAGCTCCTGGACCTTCCCCACACCTTGTTGGCCTGGGGCCACATACTGTAGCTCATTTCAGAGGCTCCATCCATCCAGGACACAGAATCGGCCCTGATGTCCTTGGACTTCCTCCAGATTCATTTGAATGTGTGTGTGTTTTGTTTTAACTGTGTCACCCACCCCCACCCACAGGTTTAAGCCCCAAAGACAGAGCAGAACTCACCGATCTTATTACTAGGCCTCACCTGCCCAGGCAGGCCTTTCCCTCACCGCCCCGCCTCAGCCTCCCGTGTCCCCCTGAGTTAGTCCTCCAAGCCGAGCTCCTTGGACACATCCTTCCCAGCCTTCCGGATTCTGAGCCCATTTGCTTACCTCTCTTTTTTGACAACCTAAAATTAAAGGCCATACTCCTTTTTTTTTTTTAATACTTTGATCCAATTTGAAAATCAGCTTGCCAAGAAGTGGTTTTTTCGGTCTGTGATATCACACCTCCCCACCCACCTCTCCAGTGCAAAAAAGAAAAGAAAAAAAAAAGCCCAGTCTCACCAATAGGAGGACTACAAAGAAAATCCAACTAGTCAAAAGGGGAAAAATGTAGCAATTGATATTGCAACACATTATGAGACTGGAACAAAGCCTAACATGTGACAGGAAGAAATATTTAGATCAAGGAGGAGACCCAGGGTCCAGCCTGAACAGGCCAGGGCTGAGGCCAATTGGAATGTGCAACCTGGCCCACCCACAGCAGGAGAGATGGGCTGGGCTGGAGGAGGAGGAGAAAACCTCAGAAAACCTGAGTCCTGGCCAGGCCTGGGGACAAGAAGAGGGCACAGAGCTGCTGATAAACCCAGAGAAACTTCCTGGAGGGGTTCGGATTTCAGGGGAAGCCTAAGACTGCTTACCAAGAAGAGGCAAAAGACTGTTCCTGACCAGTCGGGTGTGAGACAGCTGAGATGTGAGGGCGGCAAGATCCTGACAAAGGGAAGCAACCCGAGGGCGGGGCAGGACCGTTGGCAGAGACTGGGCACTGCAGGGGGGAAGGAGGGGCCCGGAGAGCCTAGTGTGGTCCTGCCACGGCCACCTCCTGCCCACCCAGCAAAGACCCACCGACGGATTCCCCAGCAGGTGGAACCGTCGTCAAGTGCAGCTGAGGATGTCCCACCCCAGGGGGGCTCGTTGCCACAAACTCTCTCCTTCTCAGCAGTTTCTCAGTCCCTAAGTACTTCACCCCTCTCTGGAGGACTCTTCTGGGGCCAGCTCACCCACTGGAGTGAAGGGATGGCGTGCTCCGAGTTAGGCAGGAGACACCAACTGGATATAGGGCTGAAATACTTTCTCTGCTAATGCCCTTTCCCATTTGGCTGGACGAGGCTAGAACTTGCAGTTCCAGCCAATCAGACCTTATGATTCACCATCAGACATACCAAGGCTATTTACTTTTAGTATTTCCTTTTAGTATCCTCCCCTTACCTGCCCTGACCCAGCCTGCAAACCCTCTGACAAGATCGGAAGGCTGAGCTCCGAGCCGGGTCTGTGCCTGTGTGGCTGGAGGCAAAGGGGCAGAGGCTGCTGGGTCCCAGGAGAGTGGAGGGAGGAGAGGAAGGAGAGGAAGATGCTGCTTGGGCTGCATCTGTGCAGAGAACTCAGCGGGAGACCCCGACCTCTGAGAACCAGGCCAGTTTATTCAAAGCCATGGGACGCCCCTCACCATCAGGAAAAAGATCATGGTTAGATATTTTGCCTAATGGGACGGGGAGAGTGCGCGGGATTCATGAGCAAAGCTCAGTCGAGACCACCTCCCTGGGTTCTGTTGTGCTGCCTTCTTCCCCTTCTTTCTTCTCTTCCGAATCCCCAGGCCGTGGGGCCAGCTCTGGGCACCTCAAAACTCACATACCAGAGATCAGGATGGACACAGCACTTTTCCTAATGGAGGGAGAGGAAGGAAGGGAAACAGAGCTCCTGGGAACTCTGCTCAGATTCCTGATACTTGTAAGAGACCCAGCCAGCTCAGTGTTAAATCCCAGGCCTCGAAGAAAGGTGTGATTGGGAGGCAGGGTTACTTCTCCAGAAAGAGCCAGGCTGCAGCAGGGGCCTGGCGGAGAAAGATGATGTAATCACGATGTGGGCCTTGCCACCCTCCAGGGACCGCAGGGATGAGGCTCCGTCTATGTGAATGCTTTCAAATAAACAACAACATTTACACCAAAAGCATCCGACTCCCCTAAGTTAGGTGTGAACCTCCCATTACTGGGCTCCCGTTTCTCCTCTGCTGCTCCACAGTGCCTCCTAGGCTCACGGCACGTGTCGAGGGGGCTGTTGGCTTCTCTGGACCTTTGAGTACCCAGTCCTTCTGTGCAGGATCTTAAAATCCATCATGAGGGTCGGAGTTCCTTCTTAGGCTAATGGGCCACAACTGCAGCTCTCAGGATGCCAGAAGGCCATTTCCGCCCTAGGGCGCAGGCTCAGCTGCAGCTGCACGTAATGGCCAGCAGAGGGCACTATGTGTCCAGCTAAGGGGCTGGGAGACGTTCTCCCAGCAGCTTTAGGAACCTGCAGGGCTTGGCAGAGAGTTCTGGCTGAGAGGAGAAAGGAGGACATTTCTCTTCCACTGTGTCTGTTGGTCCCTTTTATAATTCCGGGGTCACCTTACTCCATTTTCACTCCTATCCTCAGGCATTGCCCCCTGGATGTCCTGACGATGTCTCAGAATCTTGAGTCCCAATTCTAGCACTGTCTTCCCTGCTCCACCCCATCCCTAAAGAAAAGCAAAACCACTTCTCTTCACCATCCTCCTCTCCTCCTCCTTCTGCTCCTTCTCTGGGTGTCTCCTCCCAGCTTCCCAAACTAAGACCCTGGGTTTCTGCCCCCTCCCTTTCAGATGAAAGGATGTCACCGAAGCCAGACTATGCTCTATCTCCAGCCCTTTCCTCCCCGCAGACTGCACCTGTCTTGCTGCCCCTCCCTCGGGTACTCACAGTCCTCCCAAGTCTGCCTCCTTTCCGACCATCCTCAGTGCTCTGACCACACAGTAAGATCATGTCATTTCCCTCTTAAAGATGAGGTGGAAATAACCCAAATGTCCATCACAGGATGAACAGATGAACAAAATGTCATTTACCCAGTAGAATATTATTCAACTTTAAAAAAGGAAGGAAATCCTTACTCAACATGAATGAACCTGAGGACAACAGAAAAGCTTCGCTTAGTCCAGAACTGGCTGTTGAATCCAGAAACTTCCTGCCTGACTTATTTCACTCAGCATAATATCCTCAAGGTTCATCTGTATTGTCAAAAATAGCAGGTGTCCTTTCTCATGGCTGAATAATCCCATGTCTTAGAAGAAGATACATTTCAATCTTTTTTATCCATTCACCCCTAAGTGGACACTTAGGTTACTTCCACATCTTGACTATTGCAAATAATTTGGCGATGAACAGGAATGCGGGTGTCTCTTCAGGACCCTGATTTCATTTCCTCTGGATATCTACCCAGAAGTGGGATTGTTGGATCATATTGTAGTTTAATGTTTTTAAAAACCTCCATACTGCTCCACATAGTCACACACCAATTCACAGCTTCTCTGGTGGCTCAGACTGTAAAGCATCCGCCTGCAATGCAGGAGACACAGGTTCGATCCCTGGATCAGGAAGATCCCCTAGAGAAGGAAATGGCTACCTACTGCAGTATTCCTGCCTGGGAAATCCCACGGACACAGGAGCCTGGAGTGCTACAGTCCATGGGGTCCCAGAGAGTAGGACACGACTGAGTGACTAACACACCAACAGGGTACCAGAGTTACCTTTTCTCTGCATCCTCACCAGCATTTGTTATCTCTTGTCTTTTATATAACAGCCATTACAACAAATGCGAGGCGATATCTCACTGTGGTTTTGATCTGCATTTTCCTGACAATTAGTGCTGCTGAGCATCTCTTCATGTGCCTGTTGGTGATTTGTCTGTCTTCCTTAGGAAAATATCTATTCAGGTCTTCTGTCCAATATACAGTAAACAAGTTACTAGGTTTTTTTGCTATTAAGTTGTATGAGTTTCTTACAAATACTTTTCTCCCATTCCATAAGTTGCCTTTTCATTTTTTTTTTCATTTATTTTTATTAGTTGGAGGCTAATTACTTTACATCATTGCAGTGGTTTTTTTCATACATTGAAATGAATTAGCCATGGATTTATATAAGTTGCCTTTTCATTTTGTAGACTCTTTTTCCCCCTGAGCAGAAGTTCTTTCATTTAATTCAGTCCTACTTGTTTATTTTTGGTTTTGTTGCTTGTGCTTTTGGTATCATCCTCAAAAAATCATTGCCAACACCAGTGTTGTCTTGTGTTTTCGTCATTGGGTTTATGGTTTCGGGTCTTATATTTGTCTTTAAACCATTTCGAGTTATTGTTTTGTGAGTGGTGTACAACAGGGGTCCAGTTTCATTCTTCTGCAGGCGGAAATTCAGTTTCCCAGCACCATTTACTGGGGAGACTCCTGTTCCCATTGTGCCTTCCTGATAACCTTGTTGAAGATCAATTGACTGTCTCGGTGTGGATTTATCTGTGGGCTCTTGATTCTGTTCCATTGGATTACATGTCTCTGTAGGACTGTTTTTTCTATTTCTGTGAAAAATGCCTCTTGGAATCTTGGTAAGGAATGCATTGATTCAATAGATGCTTTTTGTGTAATATGGACATTTTAATGTTAATTCTCCCAGTTCATGAGCACAGGGTTATCTTTCCATTTATTTGTGACTTCAGTTTCTTTCATCAGCCTTACAGTTTTCAGTGTACAGATCTTTCATCTCTTCAATAAATTTATCCCTAATATTTTGTCGGTTTTGATGCTATCGTGAATGTGATTTTTTACCTTTCTTTTTCAGGTATTTTGTTGTTAGTGTATACAGGCTTCCGCAGGGGCTGCACCATTGCACAAAGGCACACCAGCCACGCACAAGGGTTCCAATTTCTCCACACACTTGCTAACATTTGTTGTTTCGTGTGGGGGTGGTTTGTGGTAGCCATCCTAGTGGGTATGTCTTCTCTGAGTTCTCACACACTCCATCTGATCCGCTTTGAAACTGTTCCATGTTTCCTACCCTTTTGAAAGCAGTAAGCTTTTGTTTTAATAGGATTCATTTCAGTTAAGAGGCAGATCCGGGCAGCGGAAAGTGCACCAACCATTGCGACACGTACAAGTCCGCGTTCTGACCCATTCGGTCACTGAAAGACCCTGAGTCCTGATCTGCTTTCTGCAGGCCTGTTTATCCTCGTCCTCTGGGGGAGCTAGGGTGATAATCCTCTGCGCTCCAAGCCCTTAGCTGAAACAAGCCGGGATACATTTAAGTGGAGTTTGTCTTCCACACGTAAACTCTGCTGCCGATTTGCAGATGTGTTCCTGCGAGCCACTTTGCCGCCCCTGCAGTGGGGTACACGCCCTGGGTGTCGCCAGGTCAGATCCCTCCGCCCACAAGCTTCGGGTCTGGAGAACCACTGAGCTGTGGGGCCTCCAGGGTCCTAGAGAGGGCGCCCGGCCAGGCTGACGCCGACGTACTTCCGGCCTTTGTGTTTCGCAGTCGACGGCAGCCCCAGGGGGTCAGTTCTCCTTGCACGCGTCTGTGGGCGAGCGCGTGAGGCGCGGGTTTTCCGGTCCCACAGGGCCAGTGTTGGCCTGTGGGGCCCAAGAAACCTCGGCGGCCAGTCGCAGTCGCCACATCTTCCTTCCTCTCCGGCATTTTGGGTCTTGGGCTCTTTTTGTGCCCCTAGCTGGCAACATGGCAATAACTTACAAAGACTGCGTGGGGGAGAGGGAGATCCGCGCTGTAAGCCCCTCATTCAAGCCTCCTTGGAGCCAGCCTAGTTGCAGAGTTCAGGCCGACGCCGCCTGCTCTTAAGTCCTTGGCACTGCCCATGGAAGCTCGTTTTGAAAAGACATTGGGGAAAGTTGGGTTGTTGAACCAAAGAACGCACGCTGGATCCCTCGACTTCCTGTGTTCTTTTTTTCCACATACACTTAAGCAGCCCTGCCTGAGTGTAGGGGAAATAAAAATCAGGCTAGAATCTTGCCTTTCTCGACCTGGGACGCTCCTAGCACGGGAACTGACGTGTTGTTGATACAATGTGAGATCATAACCCAGAGATGGAGAGATACAGAGCTTGAGGGCAGAGGTCAAACCCGAAGGACTTTGCAGAGGGGGTGGTATTCGAAGGAGGAGCTGTGGAAATGCCCTTCCAGCCAAGAACATTCCAGATAGAGCTGGTGCAAAAGCACAAAGGTGGAAGGGTGGGGAGAATGGCAGAGAGACTGGTAAATATTTCAACACCATTCTGGTAAATGTTTATTCTGCGATGGGTAGTGGAGATTAAAGAATGTGTGGCCACAAATCCCTGTTCTAGAGATTTCTAAAAATACTGAAAATGGTCCAAAGGTACAAACTTTGGGTTATAAGGTAACACATTCTGGGGATATAATATATAGCATGGTGACCATAGTTAATACTGTATTGTATATTTGAAAATTGCTAGGAGAGTGGGTCTTAAAAGTTTGCATCGCAAAAAAAAAAAATTAACTGTGAGGTGACGGGTGTTAATTAAACTGTGGTAACTTCACAATATGTACATATATCAAATCATGTTGTACACCTGAAACTAATATAATACTTTTGATAATTATATCTCAAACTAGGGGAAATTTTTTAAATAAAAGGGAAGGGTAGCCTGATGGAAGGGCTGTGAGGAAAGATTGAGGCTATAGAGTTAGGGTGACATGGGCAGATACACAAAGATAGGGACAAGTGTGCATAAGCCTTACAAACTAAAGCATGTGGCCGCGGGAGCTAACAGGAGGGAAGAAGGGACATGCACTGTTCCTGGTTGTCCCATAGTTTGCTGCAGAGTGCTTTGTTTGCAGGTGCTGGTGCTTTAGCAACTCAAAGCAATAACATGCTGAGAAAACTTGTATATGAAACAATAGGGCTTCACCTTATACTAATATATTAATAGTTCCACTGTTTACCAAGTGTGCATAAGCAAATTCACAGTCCAGAAACACACAGCCGAGCTAAACAGACTATCGGCTCACTGTTCGCCTCTGGTCCTTTTGTAATGTCTCAAGCTACATTTTGTTGCATTTCTCAGGAGAGGATATGATGGATGATAGTTGTTCTGTTGCAGAGATGAACAAGTATCAGAAATTGGCAAGCATGTGGGACAGAAGATGTGGTATGGATGAGATCAAAGTATACACAAATCAGGTCGTTCTCAGGTTACAAGGTTTCAGTTTCCAGATGTTCTGTATGTACAACAGCTGGATGCACCCTGCCTCCTCCTCACTTCACCCTCCACCACCCAACCCCACCCCGGGAATCCACCCTCCCTGTGGATTATGTAGCAACTAAGAGTTAAGGCTGAAGGACACATTTGATGAGGCAGCTCTTTCTCACCATCTCAGGGAACTATGCACTCACTGTCTTTTCTCGCCATCACTGTTCCCCGTTAAATTATGCCATCTTAGACCCTTTCACAAGGGTGCACAAGCTCCCGATTTATGTCCTTGCCACAGGTCCCTATCTTTCATCACTTGCCTTTTACCTTAAAATGGCATTCTTGGCACAATCCTTCCCATTCACCACTTTAAAGACATTGTTTGGTACAAATATTTATTTACTTAGTTATGTTCGAAGAGGAACTTGAAGCTTGCTTAAAAAGAAAAACTACATTTACTACATCAGTCAGTTCAGTTCAGTCGCTGAGTCGTGTAGACTCTTTGTGACCCCATGGTCTACAGTACACCAGGCTTCCTGTCCATCACCAACTCCCAGAGCTTGCTCAAACTCATGTCCATCGAGTCAGTGATGCGATCCAACTGTCTCTGTCACTCCCTTCTCCTCCTGCCCTCAGTCTTTCCCAACATCAGGGTCTTTTCCACTGAGTCAGTTCTTCACATCAGGTGGCCAAAGTATTGGAGTTTCAGTTTCAGCATCAGTCCTTCCAATGAATGTTCAGGACTATTTTCCTTTAGGGCTGACTGGTTTATCTCCTTGCAGGCCAAGGGACTCTCAAGAGTCTTCTCCAACACTACAGTTCAAAAGCATCAATTCTTTGCCACTCAGCTTTCTTTATGGTCCAAGTCTCACATCCATACATGACTACTGGAAAAACCATAGCTTTGACTAGACGGACCTTTGTCAGCAATGTCTCTGCTTTTTAATATGCTGTCTAAGTTGGTCATAGCTTTGCTTCCAAGGAGCAAGCGTCTTTTAATCTTATGGCTGCAGTGACCATCTGCAGTGATTTTGGAGCCCAAGAAAATAAAGTCTGTCACTGTTTCCATCGTTTCCCCATCTATTTGCCATGAAGTGATGGAACCGGATGCCATGATCTTCGTTTTTTGAATGTTGAGTTTTATGCCAGGTTTTTCGCTCTCCTCTTTCACTTTCATCAAGAGGCTCTTCAGTTCTTCTTCACTTTCTGCCATAAGGGTGGTGTCATCTGCATATCCGAGGTTATTGATATTTCTTCCGGCAACCTTGCACATAGATGAGACAAAAAATATCAGAGCAGTCTGCAGTAATTATAAGGACAAAGCCCCAAGCAAAGGCTAGTGTTTTTATTTCTATGCAGTCTTCAAGTTCCTCTTCGAATGTAACTACATAAACATTTTCATCAAATTTTGTCTTTAAAGGGGCTTCCCTCATGGCTCAGTGATAAAGAATCTGTCTGCCAAGCAGGAAATGGGTTCAATCCCGGGGTCAGGAAGATTCCCTGGAGGAGGAAATGGAAACCATCTCCAGCATTCTTGCTTGGGAAATCCCATGGACAGAGGAACCTGGTGGGCTACAGTCCATGGGGTCGCGAAAGAGTCAAACACCATTTAGCAACTAAACAACCACAACATGTCTTTAAAATGACGAATGGGAAATATTGTGCCAAGAATACCATTTTTAAAACTCTATCCTTTGCTTGCAGTTTTGTCCTTACTGTAGACTGCCCTGATATTTCTTACCGCATCTATGGAATAAACGTATTTACAAGAGTGAAGTGATTCATACACACTTGTTTTCCAGTTTTCTTTGAGGCAATGGATAGAAGAACATTATTTCCTGGATCTGCTCTGTCCTGCCATCACTTATCTCTCCTGGTCCCACTGGAACGTGAAAACACCCTCTTTCTGGATGCAGGTCCGTAACTACGGTCTGTTCTTGACCACGTGATCCTTCTGTTGGACAGGTAGGAATGAAAGCAAAACTAAGGCAGGAATGGTTGCTCTTGAAGTTCCCTTCCCAGTGGCTCTATCTGTGCTACAGCATTGCCCAGAGACCAGAAAGGCTCTGCCCCCAAGGGGTCCATCGGGAGGACTAGGCTGTGCTGAGTGTCAGTTTTATCTGGTTTTAAGTAGCGACATCAAACTTGCCCTCCCACCTCATGGAAGATTCAGTGAGAAAAGACAGATGAAAGCACCATGGAAACTGCAAAACATTAACACCTGTCACAGCCACTAGGTTGTTAAGCATCTCCAAGGAAACATGCATGGTACCAGATGCTTTGCAGCCACGATAGAATCATTTTTAAAACTCGGAACAGTTGC